GACCCTCGGGTGAGGATCCATCCTGCACATCCCATTCCTCACGGCAGGAGGAGGCTGAACACGTTGGGATTGATGGATCCTCCACAGCTCTGAGCTCCAGAGTGGGTGGCTGGAGATCAGCAAATATTGAATTCTCGCTTCTCCCAAGCTGGAATTAATCTGAGCTTCTCTGTTTTCCCAGACAACTTGTCAGACGCTGGAAACTCATTTGTTAAATTGCACAGGGGAAAAAAGGCTGCATTAGGAATATCCCGCTTACCTGGGGCTGAATTTATTTGGATTCTCTTTGCTGGTTCAAGTTTTTCAGCTTCCCAAAGGGCTGGAGAAGCTCTAGAGGAGTCTTATAAATAAAATAAACCCATAAGAATTTCCCTGAGCTGTAGGTGTTGGGATTTACTGCATGTTCCCAGTGCAACACTGTCTAACCCCTGGAACTGTGTCCAATACTTTTGTTCCCTGCTTTCCCCGAGTATTCCAAGGCCCAGACAGAACTGGAGACCTTTCCCTGCTTTAAATCTCTTAAAACTTGGATTTTCTGTCACGAGGCTCCTGCAGGTCCCTGCTGTGGCAGTTTGGGGATTCCTGGAATCCCAATAAAACCAGGGAGACTCTGTGTGTGCCCCAGGGCTAAAGCCTGGCTTTGTGTGCGAAAGCTTGTACAGACCTGAAATACAGGGAAGGGATCAAATGCCAGGGAATGTTTGTACTTCCAGCAATCCCCTGGATGCCAGAGAAAACGCAGGAATAAATGACAGACTGGTAGGGATGAGCTCTCTGAAGGGGAAATTTTCCTGTTTCAGGGGCCCTCAGTGGCGCTCGGTGCCCTGATTGCAGCTGGGAAAGCACAGCAAAGCCAATATTCCACATTTTCTGCAGCTGGAAATCCCGATTGCAGCGTCCTGGCTCCAGGTGGGCAGAGGGGTGAGACACCTGCAGGTCTGTCCCAGATTTTTGTGCTGTCCCTGAGAACAGGGGCTGGGACCTGAGCCCCAAATCACTCCTGTACAACAGGCTGGACGAGTAACTACAGGGTGCAAATACAGAGAGCAACTACAGAGAGTAAAATCACCCAGAGAAAACATGGACATGTCTCCTGAAACCAGGCTCTTAATCC